TTCTCTTGAAAGATTCGACGCTAGTACAGTTAACCATTACTTCAGGTAGTTTATTCCACAACGGTATAACTCTGTTTGTGAATAACCTAGCACGCAAATTTAGTCTACAATGACCTCTTTCCAATCTTAGCTGATGCCACCTCGTGCACCTGGCAGGAATAAACGAGAATACGTTTTGGAACCTTAGACCCGAAAGCCCTCTGACAATCTTAAATGTCTCTATAAGGTCGCCTCGCATGCGTCTGCGGGCCAGGGAGAACAGGTCCAGGTCCCGCAGTCGTTGGAGGTATCCCTTGTCTTTCTGGCCTGCTACCCTTCTAGTTGCTAAGCGATGTACTTTCTCAAAACAGCATTTGTCCTGTTTAAAATAAGGCATCCATACCTGTACGCAATGTTCTAAATGTGGACGCACTATGGTTTTGTACAATGGTACAAAAACCTCGGGTCTTCTGCAACTTACTACAGCGCACAACCTGAAAAGTTCGTGTCGAGCTATATTAGCCGCACGCTTGCACTGTAGAGATGGCCTGAAATCGTTCGTGATCACTACCTCAAAATCCTTTGCCTCAGAGACATGCTGCAAGTGCATCACACCTCTCGTGTCATCATTGGCTCCTGTGGTCAAGAGCTGACACTTACCTAGATTCAGTGGTAGATCCCACTTATCGGACCTCCTTCGAACTGCATCTAGATTCTGCTGCAGTCCTTCCGCAGCTAACTTCACATCATCGGCGAACATGAAGCAAGGATTTTGGAGATCCTTTGCAAGGTCCTTAATGAAGATGAAAAATAATAGCGGACCTAACACCGATCCCTGTGGGATACCACTCGATACTCCGGTTGTATAATTTCCAACTCTCACACTGAATGCGCGACAGCTGAGAAAGTGTCTAATCCATTATCTTGCTTCGCCTAGGATCCCCACTGTCTGCACTTTTAGATCCAGAAGCTAATGAGGGAAAGAGTTGAAAGCTTTGCTGAAATCTAGGTAGCAAACCTCTACCTGGCGACCTGGGTCTATTATTATTGTCACTTCGTCTAGAAATGCCAGCAGGTTGGTTAGGCATGATCTTTTTTCGAGAAATGCATGCTGAGCTTGATTCAGAAATCTATTCGCATCAGATAAAAACATATCCTTTTCCTGACAATCCACTCGAGACACTGGCTGAAGGCTGAGGTCAAACCTACTGGTCTAAAGTTGCAAACGTGGTGTCTAAGGCCTGACTTGTTCATGGCCACTACGGTTGCAGTTTTCCAGTCTTCTGGAAGCCTGTAAGTACCAATCAACTCCTGAAATAACCTAGTCCCCAGTCCCGCTAATGCACTTGCTAGAGGCTGAATCACAGCGGGATGCAATCCATCCGGTTCTGCTGTTTTATGCCTATTTAAGGCGTTGAGATTTCGGTGAACTCTGTGAAATGCTCCCTTTTTCTTACTAGCCTGTAGTCCACAGTCTGTTCTGCCGTTAGTGGCCTACAAATTCCCTTGAAAACGTAGGGAGTGCATTTGTCTTTTCCTGGTCGGTGGTGATAATTACGCCTTCCATTACCTCCAGTGTACCTACTCCCTCCTTATTGTCCTTTTTCGCCTGCACGTATGCACACAACCTTTTCGAGTTATAACTTACCTTTGCGCTAACTTTTTACCATGTTCATACTTCGCCTCCCTTTGAAGGGACTGGGCTTCATTGTGTGCCCTCTTGTAGATCGAGCACGCATTGGCAGTCCGGTACACCCTGAAGCGGGCTCAGGATCTCCTCCGGACTACTAGTGCCCGATCTAGTTGTGGCTTCCACTAAATTGGTAGTTGCCTATTGCTCCTAGGTTTGAAGGGTGAAAACCTATCGGTCAGTGTAAGCAGCCCTACCTTAATGACAGACTATCGCTCTTCCAACGTTGGCTCGGGAGATAGTGGCTCCCAGTCTACGTGTTCTGCGGCCTCTTGTAGGGCAGCAACGTTTATACGACTATAGCACCGTTTAAACGAGATTGCCGGTTTGTTGTGTTTCATGGGTAATACTAACCTAAGTACACCATGGTCACTCTTACCCAGTGGATTCTCCACCGCTACCTCACTTATGTCCGTTAAATACCGCGTTATAACTGAGTCCAGGACGGAGGCCCTCTGTTGGTTGCGAAACCTTGTGGCCTGCATGATATGCTAAATGAGCGCATGCTCATGTAGCCACGTTACAAGGATTTCTCCCTTTTTCCTAACGGGGGCCTCTCCTTCTACCCAGCAGATCTCTGAAAGATTGAAGACAGAATTAAAATCCTTTGGGTCTCCGATATAAATTCCTGCATTGTCGCAAGTAGTTCCATATCTTCTGTGGGTTCCGCTTGGGGTGCGCGATAGACTAGTAGCACTCCTAACGGTCATCCTCCCAAGAGGATACTACAGGCCTTGGCTTGAATATTAGGTGTCGCCAGTTTTACGGTTGAATCCCATTTAGGGTGAGCGGCTTTGACCAGTAGGAATAATCCTCCGCCTTGTCTGCCGTCCACTCTATCCCGCTTATAAGCCTAGTAGTCTCTGGGCTTCTCTACATCCTGCTCTTGCCGCATCCAAGTTTCAGTGATAGCTATTATTACCGAGTTTTGGGCGCGCGTCGCCAACTCTACCCATTTTCCCCTTACACTGCAGGCATGAGTGTGCCACACTGTGACGGTGTTTACCTCCTCCTTCATACAACTGTTCTCTATTGCTTGAGATGGATCCCCAAATGTAAGCTCGAGGAGCTATTAGGTTTTTTGATACCGTATTTGCGGGCACCGAGCAATCAGGCACCGTGAATGATCATGCTATACCCCTAACAAACTTCGTTATGTCTTTGAGAGTTAACCCTAGTTCCTCACCGAGTCTTTTCGCGAGCGCTCGTTGTCTTCTAAGCAGGGATAGTGTTCTGCTCAGAGGAGTGTCCTGGATATTCCTTGCTACCACTGTGGCCCAACTAACGGTCGCAGATTCCGCCTTACTATCAGCGACCGTGGACTCGCCCATCTTTTTTGCTCCCTCAGCCTTTGCTGACTCCTACGGAATGGTCATTGATGGTCCGTTGGTTCTTCTGTTATCTGCTTTCTTCCCAAGGACTCCATCTCGGGACTCCATCGGTTTTTTCGCCCTTCTGTTATCGACTTTTTGCTCCTCTGATTTGGATTTTAGGGGTGTGGACTTGCTCAACAGTGATCCAGTTGACATAGTATTTTCGATCACCCTGCGTTCACACGCCCCAACCACTCCCACTTCATGCGCCATATGGACGTTCAGTTTACTCACAATAACTCTGGGCTCCTTGTGGTGCATTATTCCTGTTGCAGAAACAATGGGAATGACGCATCGCTGGGCGTGATGAACTGTGTTAGGAGTACCTTTGATGCACCCTCTAATGTTCATCTCCAATGCAACAGTCCTATATGGCAAAAGATTCCGGTCGTTTGTACTATAAAATACTACTAATATTGATTGAGGTCTGGCTGTCTGGTTTTGCCTCCACAACCTAACTCTATAGCAATTAATACAGGGCGTGTTGCCCGGCATACCCGCCAGTCGGAAAACATCTTGAACGTGTTTACGATCCGCCTCTCGTTGCGCTTTAGCATCGCAAATCGGTAGCTCCGAAAAGTTATGCAGCAAGACGTTTCTCTTTCGACCCAGTAGCGCTTGAGGGCTGCGTTGCAGTTCTTGAAGATCTTCCTCCAACTGTTCTATACGTGCAGTCAATTCTACTGACTCTGATGGTTTAACCACAGCCCCTTTGAGTGGTTTCTTTCCCTTGGCGCTCGTGATTTTCTCCTTCCAATTGTTTTCCTTCATTGTATAATAATAATAATAATAATAATAACAAGTGTATATTTCACGGAGCCCCGTGAGGCATGCATAGGCATGATCAAATGTAGAACATAATCCTCCGTACAGGAGAGGCCCAAAATGGTGGAAAAAATTGAAGGTCGCAGTGAACATAATTACAAATGCAACACAAAGTGGACAAGGTATCAGAGAATAAGGATCGAGATGGCAGAATGCTCCAAAAGAGAATTCGGTGGAAGTGGGACGAAAAACAAGAATCGATATACCGGATGAGTGATGAGATAATTGGGAATACAACGATCAGTGAGTAAAAGAACAAGAGGCAGCCTGCCGATCGTTGGACTGGAATGGACAGAAGTGGGGGTCACTCCGAGTGTGCATGGTGGGAAAGCAGCCCAGTCATTGGAAGATTTGATTGTATCTTGCTTTTGGTTTTTCAGTAATACTCCGAATAAATTCACCACTGGATATCGTGCCAGTCTAACGGAAGACGCCTTTATTTTTCTTACAGCAGCAGATCTCTGGAAAGGAAGAAAGAAACGCAAAACAGTCTAGGTTGTAACCTAGCTGATGAGGGAGTGGGAGGGAAGGAAGCATGCAAGTTATCGCGCAATAATAATAATAGGTGTATATTTCACGAAGCCCGTGAGACATGCCCAAGGCATGATGAAATGTTCAGAGCGAGTATACGTACGATAACAGTGTAAGTACATAGGTAGACAATAATAAAATTTTAAAAAATGGTGGGGATCAGGACGAAAACACATTGTAAAAGGAACACAAACCGGACAAGGTCATAGACGAATTTGTGAAGGATGGAGGATGCAACGAAAAGTACATGTCGCTAGAACTGCAAGTAATAGTAAAGCTGGTCTCCAAAGGATTGGCCGTACGGCATAGGTATGGGAAATACGAAGAGGAGGTCTGTAACACAAATGCTGCCCGATGGTAGAGGCATGAGGACAGGAATAGAAGGTGAGGAACACAGCAGAATAATACGTCGGTAAAGGAACATGTTTCACTCTATGCTGCAATACAACTCGCTTTTGGAGACAAGTTTATTGGGTTCGGGGCTTCAATCAATCAACGAGTGATTTGGTTTATTTAGGCGTTGGTCGCTTCGATGTGGGACTGACTACACGCTAGACACCTAACCTTAAAACACCTTGTAAGTGAGGCAGGGGGTGTAATCCTCAGCCTGGTCCAGAACGCGGACGCGTGTAGTCAAAACGGTGGAAACAGCCGTGCGAGTGAGGAGCCCAAGCCTTCGTGAGGCTCAAATCAAACGAATCTGGAACAAAGAGGCGATATGCAGCAGTCTGGGGTATAACCCAGCTGAAAAAGGGATAGGAGAGCGGGAAACGGAGCATGCAGCGGGAAAAAAACAGAAAATGAGTGGACACCAAGAAATTTGTACTAAAATGCTAGGGTACCGGAGTCTACTACAGAATATTAAATCACAAAANACTGGTAGTATTGGGTTAAGAAAGTGTACACAGCTACCTGGTTAGCATGTGCCACAGACGAGGACGGATAGGATTGAGTGAAAACAATTCGAGAAACATGTTGCTTGATTTCACCGCCTCCACTTTTTCGTTGCTGGTCTCGGCGAGCGAGTATTGGAGGTTTGTGGTGATTTATTGGTCACAGTCCCTACCAAAGCTCCTTTCAGAATGCGCAAACATTCCCCTACCAGAGCCAAGCAGGGTGTGCATATTCAGTTCAATTCTCCACGTTGGAGATGCAGCGCGTAGCACCGCTTCGACATCTTGGAGTATGTTTCTTGGTACCACGAACCACATGTATTACGCTGGATACCACTGCTGACCACTCTACCACAACCAC